TGGCAGGTTTTCCTTCCGGAAGAACTGCATTGCAGTTGTAGAAAAATGGTGCTGCTGCTTTGGGATTGTGGCCAGCTCGTTTTGGGCATTGCAGGCTGTCCTGACTGATCTTGGTACTTTACAGTTTCTGGCCCAGTAGTGGCTGAAATTAATATCACATCCTTGTGTCCTGTAAGCTGCCTTCCCACAGCCCAAGGAACTACACCCGTGTAAGATGATGCAAAGCTGAGTCCTATTTGAAAAGGTTTAAGGTCTGAAAGAGTTTTCCAAAAAAGCTTTTCACAAAACTGTGGGTTTGAGGTTATGCTGGGTTATGATGTTGGCTCCTTTTCCCTTGCAATTGCTGAGAAATACATCCAGACACAAACTGATGAGTGTTGCCTTCATGTTTTTCCCAGGCAATCCGCATTTTGGTTCAGGAGCGCTTGACGCAGGACGCCATCGCCAAGGCCAGCCAGTCCAAGGAGGTTTGTATACACACTGCAGGGGTCTGGTGCTAATTGTTCCATATCAAGTCAAGAAGTGTTGGTGTAAATATCTACCATCTCCAGCTAAACCACTTCTGTTTTAATATTTCACTTTGGAGGATGGTGGAAATTTGCTTCATCTTTACCGTCCTGATTCTCACAGGCCCAGAGGATTATGGGGAGTGTTCTTATTTCTGTTGAATACAAATATACATACCTGTGTGATATATCATGGAAACAGCTGTTCTCCTGTTAGCTGGAGGCTTACCCTTACTGCTCAGTGCATGAGTAGAAAAGTATGACCTGGCTTTTCTTTGGAATTGGCAGTGTTGGCTGCATAAACAGGTTGAACTGTTCCTTGTATGGAGCATTTTGCTTCTAGGTACATCTCCTATGTGTTGATGTTTGACATCCAACTTCTCTCTCCCCCCCCCCTCTTTCTCAGAAAGAATCAGTGAGGGAAAGTTCTGGCACTTAAACCCTAGATTTTGCAGAATTATTTTCTAACCTCAGTCTGTGTGGAAGATGTTCCAGGGAATGACTGTGGTTTCTCAGGTTGTCATTTCTTAAATGTCCCAGTTCTCCTGCCCTTCTTTCCAGCATGTTGCACAGCAGCTGCTGGCATGGGGGCTGGGCACAGCCAGGAAAAGCCACCTCCCTCCCCTTGCAGGAGCTCGTGGGGATGTGTCCCTTCTAAAGCCACTGGATCTGCTCAAGGAACCCAAGTCCCTTCATCTCTTCTGGCAGCTGCTCAGAATGGTCCATGTTTTATTTATGATCACAACATGAGTCCTGGTGTTTACTGAGAGGCAATGCAGGTGCTCTGAGTTGCAGTGCAGTAATTGCCAGAAGAGCTAGAACATCAAATCAAAGCTTTGGTCTCAAATAGCCAAAAAACTGTTAAAAAGAGCAGGAAAATATGAAAGCAGCTGAGGGTGCTGCAGCCATTTTGGGTCTGTAACAAATGTTAATTAAAAGCTGCTTTTACAGAGCAGAGTTGTTTACAGAGTTGCATAGCTGATGTACAGGGCTCAAAAATGGGGTTTTCTGTGAGTTTGGTACAAGTAGCTTTGTTGAGGAACAGACTTTTAGTCATGGTGGAGAATTCTTTGTACTTGATAGGTACTCAGAGCACGGTCAGGTCTGAGGTTGAAATGTCACTGTGTCACTGAAGGTGATACGTGTCACTGGGAGTGTATTCTCACTAGGAATGCTAAATTTCAAGTGAGGTGAAGGAAAGGCAGGAGCTTGGAGGCAGGAAAAGGGCTTTATCTGTGCCAGCAGCAATCTTCAATATCATCACGTACCAGGTCTTAAAGGCAGAGGGAATATCTGGGTCACAGGGTAGAAGGAGAAGAAAAATAAACCTCTGCTGCTGATTTTGGCTGGATTTTTAGTGGTGAAATTACTGGCCAGTGACACTTTGTATGTGAAGCCTTGTCCCTGGAAACAGGTTATAAATGTCTGGCTGTTGCATGACTGGCAACTTTATATACACAATGTCACGAGTCACATTCTTGGCAGTATCATGACAGGGTGAGGGAAAGATAAAATAGAGAAATACTCCCTGGCTGAAGGATAGATGTGAATGCTGAGCACTCTCACACTGCTGTGCTTGTGCTTTAAATGTACCAAATAAAACTAGATGTATCTTGTTGTCACAGTACAGTTTTCAAGAGAAGATGTGACACTTGTTTGGAATGGCTGGCGAGTCAGTGCACGGGGTGTCTAGACAGGATTCAGATCTGCATGGACAGACTCAGAGCCTGTCCTGGCCTTTCCTTTCCTCATGAGTGTTCCCATGATTAATTCCCACAAACACCCTTCAGGATCACTTTAAGGATGCTCCTGGAGGCCATACCCTGGGTCATGTTTTAACCCTCAACAAAGTGGGTTCCATTTTCCCCCCACTCTGAAATCTGGGAATTATTTTTTTTTTTTTCCTCCCACTCCCAGCAAATCTGGTTTTGCTGTCAACACTTCCCCAGTTCCAGGGGAGGTGGCTGAGGTGCTCAGGCCCATTCCAAGTGTTTGGTGCAGCAGCTAGAAATTAGATCTTTTAGGGACTGAGGCTGAGAAAGGAGGTCAGCTGTGTGATGATGGATGGAATGATGCTCCTCACTTCTCTCCCTGTGCAAATGACCATGGGCCTGTTGTAGTTGCAGCAGCAGTGGGTGCCTGTACAGCCCAGCTCCTGCTACAGTCAGCTTAAAGTGACATTCTTAGCCACAAGCTGTTTAAATTTCAACAGTGCAGATGTCTTTTAAGATGGCAGTTGAGCATCCATTTTACTGGAAAGGCCCTGGGAAAGAAAACTGTGTTGAAAATGGGGCATTAGAGTTTGTTTCAGTCAGCATTTTGTATTTAGTTTGCATGGTTTTGATCAACTTAAGCATTTTTGACATGGATAGGAAAGGCTTGAAAAACAAATCCTCACTGTTTAGAAGGTTTACAACCCCATCATTGTGGAAACTGATGGTATTGAACCCGGATGTTTTTGTCTTGCCAAGTGCAGTCTTGCCAGATCCACTGCTGGAAAAAAGTTCCATGGGTGCTGAAAACAAATTGGAAGGTTTGAATTGTTTAAATCTAATATGTGCTTGTTGAAACATGGTGAGGGATTGTTTAGCCTGACCACTTCTCTGCAGCTGGAGAGGGCAAAGGCAAGAGAGCCCTGCTTGTAAATGACCACTCATCAAACCTCTCCTTGTGCTGTCCTGGTAGAGCAAGTGTTTAGAAAATCAAATGTTTAGCTTTATTCCTAAGCTTAGCACTTGAGAAGATGCTTCTGAGGATGTTGGAGGTTGGGAGTTCAGTGCTTGAGAAGTTCACTTGCTTACAGGGCATATTATTTTTTTTTTACAACTCTCCCTCAGACTGGCCAGTGCTTGGAGACCTGGCAGCTGTGGGAAGGCAAATGGTTTCTGAGAGAGGAGAGTTTGTGTCTGCTTTTAGTTTGGGGGGGGGTAGGGATGTTGCTGGGTCGGGTGTTCTCTGGCAGTGCTGTTGTTGGCCTTTTAAGGATTGAATGTGGGCAGTGTGTGTATCCAATGGGCTTCACTTGACAAGTAGGCATTATTAAGCATGAAGCTTTGTCTTTATTAATGCTCTGAGGCTGATGTTTCAGGACTCAAAGGCACTGGTGTGATCAAGCAGGATGACTTTTTGAAGCCATCACACCTGTCTGTATAAGCCAATCCTCCTCTCCTCCAGAAGAGTTTTACCTGGGGTAGTGCTTGATTTTTATTTTCCAAACATGCAAAATGACATTTCTAATTACATTTGAACATGTTTGTGTTTTTTTCTTTTCAAAGGGTTTGCCTGTAGCTTTAGAAAAGCACATTCTTGGTTTTGACACAGGAGGTAAGAAGTTCTTAACTTTTTAACTGGTGGATTTTGCCTTTGACCAAGTACATTACTGTCAACTAGGCAGCTCATGTGTACAGTAACAAAGCCTGTAGTGGAAAGAATTGCTCCCTCCCAGCTTGTTATTTACGAGCACTCCAGTGCGTTTTGTTTTGGAACAGTAAAGCATAAATCTTAGCCCTGGAATATGTTGTTTCAGGGTAATGTTTAAATAACGGCTTTTAACAGCAGCCCCGCTTGCAGGCGGGAGGAATGTGTCTTGTCATGTCCTCCTGTAAATCTTGCTGCTACCAGCAGAGGCCCCCTGTGCTTCTGCCTGGGCTTCAGCTGCGTGATTTACCTAAAATCTCATCAGAGCAGTGAGAGGTGGCATGGCCTGATAGATCATTTCTTAAGGAATTTACAGGTGACCTGGGACTCCACTGCCTTCACTTTCGCCCCAAGTTCCTCCTCAGAATGCTTCCTCCTGATCCCACTTGGCTGTGGATTCCTGTCCCTCTCCAGCAGCAGGGAATGTCATTTCCTCTTTCAAGCAGGAGAACCACTTAGCTTAAGCTTTTAAGACCTTCATGTCAGATGAAAGCATTCATGTGCCTTCTCTTTCTGCAACCCACCCAGATGCTGTTCTCAATGAAGCTGCCCAGATCCTCCGCCTGCTGCATATAGAGGAGCTCCGAGAGCTGCAGACAAAAATTAATGAAGCCATTGTGGCAGTTCAGGCCATTATTGCTGATCCCAAGACTGACCACAGATTGGGAAAAGTTGGGAGATGAGCAGATTAAAGCATTTAGTCTCTTGTGTACTTAGTACAATTAGGAACTATGTACAACCGTGCACAAGTCTGGCATGCAATGTGAAATTGTCTTCTTTTACTGTTTTGAAAGAAAACAGGAAACTGAATTCTGACTCCTAATTAATTATCTTTTTTTTTTTTTCCTTTAAATAAATGAAGTTGGGGAAAATAGACAAATTGTTCTGATTAGCTCTGAGTTGGCAAATTTAGTCTTCTTCATTGTGTTTGGCTTTGTGTTGAGAGGGGAGTGGTACCCAAAGGCCTTGCAGATTCCTCTTTTGCTGAGGTCCTGCCATATGAACTGGCTTGCTTGCTGCTTCTCCCCAGTCTACCCTACAACTGAAACATTTCAAAACTCGATCCAAAGCGAAACTTAAACCAACCATTTTATTCAATTATTGAAGTAACCTGGAAAAAAAAGTGAAGCATTACAACGTAAATGGTATTTCTGAACATGTATTGGTCTACACTGGGTAGATCTAGGAAGGCACTTAGGAGAACCAACAAGCATCAACAGATCAATTCTAGCATATTCTTCTAATATAAATACTAAAAGACATGCATTGAGGCAGTGGTGAAAATACAGACTTGTCCTCTGGACAAACTTCCATGCCTTTGCCATATCCCATAACTGTTCTGCACACTTCTGGGTACACAGAGTCTCTGCCTTCAGGGCTGTGGATTCCTCAGACCCAGCAAGGTACTGCATCCAGAGCTCCCCATAGCACTTGGGTTTTGGATTAAAGGACCCGTTGGTCAGATTGTCAAAACTTCTTAAAAAATGAATCCATTCTTCTTCCAATAAAATCAAACATTTGAATAAGAAAGCTACATTTTAAATTTGCTTGTATAAGCAAGAGTTAGAGCAATGGTCTTAAGATTCACAGGACCATTTTTTTGGTAAGATATCCATGTTTTTCACTTAAAAAAAAATACAGTAGTAAAGACTTGAGGTATAACTTCAAAAAATACTTGATCAGCTTTTGCAGGAAAGTAGATCTCTTCATGGGCCTTGATTTAAGGGGTTTTCCCCCCTTAGTTGTATGCAGTGACAGTTTCCTGGGTCTGAAGTTCTTCTGGGTGCAAAGATGATTGTTTCTCCAAAGAGCAGCTGTTACTTCCTTGCTGCAGAGAGAAATGGATCTCTTTAGAGGGTCAAGCATGCAACTGCTGCCAGACAAGGAAAGAGGATGGGCTTTGTGCTTTACCTCCAGGGCAGTAGGGATAAACTGCAGTTATTCCATAGAGATGTGATCGCTGCTCTGGAAGATACTCATCAGTAAAGGAGCCAGTTTCTTTATTGATGGCTATCACACCATCCCTGGTGATAAAAGGGGAGACGTGCTTTACTCATCTATGAAACTTGGGTTTGTTGGGTTTTTTTCCCCTTATTTACATGCATTTAAGGACTGAGGCAGCTAAAAAGATTGTTCTGAACACCCGCAGAACAAGTGGAAAGAAATTTTGCCCTGTAAAACCTCCATCCAGCTCATTCAGTGCATTTCTCTTGGGTGATGCAGAGGCACAGCCAGCCTTCCAGGGATAGATTATCTCCCTGATAGTCTCTCCTCCAAGTCTGCAAAGCACTTAAGTGTTTGTTGTAATCTGCTAAGATTTAATTGAAGCTGTGAGAGCTTCCAGCTGGAGTGGGGATAGAGGTTAGTGATGCTGAGGGCCTGGGGTGGCAGGGCAGAGGGAACAACTGAGGACAGAGTCTTTTCTTTGACTTTGTCTAGTTTCAGAAACTCATGCCAAGTTTTATTTAAAAAAAAAACCCAACCACTATTTCTGTCCTCCCAGGAAGCTGGGGCTGTTTTGAAATGACTGTCCTGTGCAGAGATTTACAAGTGGGTGTTGCTGAACGAGGCCCTGCAGGAGACCTAGGAGAAGGTTCTGGTGAGGTTGCAGGATTTGGGACCAGGGGGCAGGCTGGGGACAGCCTTTTTGTTTTCCCCCTCTTATCCTTAAAGCCCCTCCAAGCTGCTCCCTGCAGGACTCAGGCAAGGAGTGGGGGAGGCTGGCTCCTGGATGCGTAGGGAGCAGAGCCCTTGGAACTAGCTGAGCATTCCTGGTGGCAGGAGGGAGCAGGGTGTCTTTCCTTACCGTCTCCAGTCCGTGTGGTAGAAGTGGTTGGCATAACTGATGATGCTGAAGGGGTAGTTGAGGTTGTTCTGGATGACCCTCCGGCCCGTGCCGTCAGGGAACGTGCACTCCAGGTGCTTGGTTCCTTTTCAGACAGAAAGCACAGTTACCACGCCATGGAATAACACCAAACCTGGGCTTTGTATTCATTACATTTTGAAACTGGCTTCTCCAACCTAAGGATGTAGAAGCAACTCATATTTGTGAGCCCCCCCCAGCCCCATCACACCAACTCTTGGGGCAGGACAGTGGAAGGGGACAGAAGCCATGTACAGCTGGTTTTCCCCTCAAGGCTTTGAGTGTTGTGGGTTGATCCTTGGTGGAGTTAACTCCAGTTGGTGGCTGGTCACCAGGGGTGTTTCCCAGGGCTCAGAGTTGGAGCCAGTTCTGTTTGGTATCTTTATCAATGATCTGAATGAGAGGATTGAGGGCACCCCCAGTCAGCTGGCAGGTGACACCAAGCTGGGTGGGAGTTGATCTGCTTGAGGCAGGGAAGGCTCTGCAGAGGGACCTGCACAGGCTGCATGGATGGGCCAAGGGCACTTGTATGAGGTTCAGCAAGGCCAAGTGCTGGGTCCCCTGTTTCCATCACAACAACCCCAGGCAACATTCCAGGCTTGGGGCAGAGTGGCTGGAAAGTGCCTGGTGGAAAAGGACCTGGGGGTGTTGGTCACAGCAGCTGAATATAAGCCAGTGTGTGCCCAGGTGGCCCAGAGGCCACCAGCATCCTGGCTTGTGTCAGCACTGGTGTTGCCAGCAGGACCCGGGCAGGGATCATCCCCCTGTGCTGGGCACTGGGGAGAGGGCACCTCAGATCCTGGGGTCAGTTCTGGGCCCCTCACCACAAGAAGGACATGGAGGGGCTGGAGCGTGTCCAGAGAAGGGCAAGGGAGCTGGGGAAGGGGCTGGAGCACAAGTGTGAGGAGGAGCAGCTGAGGGAGCTGGGGGTGTCCAGCCTGGAGACAAGGAGGTGAGGGGAGACCTGCTGGCTCTGC